CTACTACTACAGTACTACTACTACACTACTACTACTACTACTACTACTACTACTACTACTACTACTACTACTACTACTACTACTACTATACTACTACTACACTACTACTACTACTACTACTACTACTACTACTACTACTACTATACTACTACTACACTACTACTACTACTACTACTACTACTACTACTACTACTACACTACTACTACTACACTACTACTACTACTACTATTACTACTACTACTATTACTACTACTAATAGTTGTTGCAAGGCTCTATTTAAATGCAGACATCACTTCCTGTTACATTATATGGAAATATCTCAACAACTATTCATGGAGTGTGATTGTTTTTCCATATGTTATTAATGTTCTATTACAAAAAAAATGCATGAATATTTTATTCTTTAAAGAAAGGATGTCACAGGTACTTTAAAATCCAGTTGTGATCGACGGGCTTCATGAATTTCCTTTCTGCGGCCACGGGGTGGCGCTGTGGTCAAACTGGCAGTTGCCCCCCAGAAGAGGCAGAGCGCCGCGCGCTACATTCGGGGGCTAACAAAGGTTACTATGGAGACCTCTCACCTCTTTTGTTTCAACTTAAGAGGAAAGATGTCCAGCAGCTGCTACGTGTATCTTAGCAAAGACATTGTCAGCGGTAAAGCAGTAAGTAAACGGCGCTTAACTTAAATGGAGCAATTCACGGCTAGCTTAAGGCTGTTTTTGTATTTTTACCAAACTCACCTTTTGTAGTTTACATTAGCATGTTAAGAGCTAACGCTAACTGTGACTTCCTGTTTAAAACAATGTTTTAAAAGGACTAAATTATAGCCTTAACTTGTGATTCATTTGGTTGGACTGCCGTGACGGTACGTAAAGGACGTAAAGCTCGGGTGGGCGGACTGCACTGGTCGGTTTCTTTCAGCGTTAGCCTCGCAGGCTAGGCTAGCACGAATGACGGATTTTGGGAAGTGTAACACCGCCAGACATGATTGAGTGGAGACCATCCTACAAGTAAGAGACGTTTGAACGCACCTGGCACTGGTGCCCAGGTGTTTATGATGCTGGAGTAATTAGGTACGAAGCGGTGGTCGTTGTATGAGAGGAGCTGGCTTTTCCCCATAGCAAAGGAGGATGACTCGTTTTGGTAGAATATGCCTCTTTAATTTTTATTTCGTATAGAATCTTTTGAGCGTTTATGCTAAATATTCTTAAAGCTTTCTGCAGACTATTTAACAATTGCGAAACCCCGTTTCAGTTTGCAGTTTGCCCCTCTCTTGTGAGACGGTACGACTGTAGACGGTGACAGCCATCTTCACTGCTCGCATGATTAGCTGAGGTGGAGCTGTGTCTTCAATCTCCTCATTGCTTCATGTTTTTATTAAAATTTAAATGTTTTGAAACGAATTAAAGCCGGAACAGGGCGGTGCGTGCAAAAAAAAAACTGTACGTGGCGCAATTAGTAGACATAGCCCTGTCTTCTTGTCAGGAGAATGGAATGAAATGATGCGTTCAAGGTCCGCTCCGTTTTTCCGCTTCTAATCTAGAATCTCGAGAAAACGTGCAAATTCTGTTAACGTTAGACCTAATTGTTAAAAACAATAATATAATATTTTCTTTGACTCACGTTGTCAGTTTTAATTTTATGTGGGCAGAGAGATTTTTAGTTAAAATCAGCAGAAAGCCAATTTAATACGACGCTCCGAACGTGCTGGCAGCGTCGCGTACGTTCTGTTACGCAATAGGGGCGGGGTTTAAAGGAAGCACGTAGGACACGGCTCGTGCCAAGCAACACTGAGGTTACCTTAGTTAGATCTAGCATTTTGACAGTTTTGTGCATGAAGAGCGACATACTGACGGGAGTTGGAGTGTTTGACAGAGACTATTGCTTTTTTTAAACCAATTCTGGTAAGACGCTTAAATTTGTAATCTACGTTAGAGAGGGCGGTGTTAATTAATGTTTAATCTTAGAGATATATTTTAAAGCCCTGATTGGTTTGACTCAGAAAAGTTTAATCGTTTTATGTTTAAACGACAGTCCAGATTCCATGGTAATAAAGTGCGCACGCAGTGGATTGCCCCTTTTTTGTTGTTTTTAATGACTGCGCCAATAATTAAGAACCAAACAGACAGAAATGCTGCATTAAGGCGCATCTCTTCGTCTGTGTTTTTCCATGAGGGCTGCGGTGTTTACATCTGTGTTTAGCTATTAAAACCCGACCCACGTGTTGGGAGCATAGGACCATGTGGCCTTTGTAAACACTGCTGTTGGTTCTGTTTCCTGTACAACGAACTATGTATTAACTGTGTACTGGGTGTATTTTTTATAAAGTTTTTTGGACTTAATGTTATGCTGGGTGCGTTTACTTGAAGCTGCCATCTATTTGAGCAAATTATTAGGCCAGTTTACTTATCAGGCTAAATGTCAATAGAAAAGGTCATGTTCCCACATTTTAGTAGATAATTTTTATGTTCCTTCCTCATCTTTTTGTGTTTATTATATGCTGGTAAACAGGGTAAAGCCACAACAAAAATAAAAATGAGGGAAAGGCTGTTAAAGTCAGCTACTGCCAGTGATGATTATTATTATTATTATTATTATTATTTCTAGGCTATAGTTTGACCTAAACTGTCTTAAATATCCTCTTGGTATAGACTTGAGTATTTGAAGTTAATGTAAACATGTGTCTTGGATGGAAATGTGACTGAAAGTAAAATGTGGTTCCCCTCCTGCAACTGCATTTGTTTTTTGAAGAGGTTACATTAGTTCAGCAGGCACAATACAAATACTGCAGAACTGGTCTTTTATTACTGCTTTTCTTTAGTTTTACTCAAACATTGATTTATTAATTTGTGTTATTTTGTCAGTTGTTTGACACAAACTCTCTAAAATATCTGTTACAGTTCCTTTTCAGCTCAAAGATATCTCCTTTTCTAATAAAGAAAAACCTTTTTTTTTACATTTGAAAGCCTGAAAGCTGCGTGTTTTTCCATACTTGTTGGAAAATTCATCCTAATCGAAACCTATCAAAGTAGCTAACAATTTAGGGTTAAACATCAGATGTTATGGCAGTTGTGTAGATAACTCTTTGACGCTGTTAAAACAAAATTATATTTGGTTGCATGGTGAATAATCTTTATGTAATGTACAAAGAACACGTAACTACTAGGGGTGCAACGATACATAAAATTCACGATTCGGTTCGATACTTTAGTCTCACGGTTTGATATTTTTTCGATACAAAAAAGAGAAATGTCCATGGCATTTTTAACTTGTAATTTATTTAAATTAATTATGAACATTTGTTTAACCTCAAAAGTACTGTTTTTAAATTAAATGTTGCTGAAACAGCAAGTTTCTCAGTGGATCTGTGCTCAAAAATGCAGCCGAGGTGGAGTAGTCGAACACAGATCCACTGATCCTTCAACACAGAGCATCTTCAGAAGACAAGTTGATAAAATAAATTTTAAAAATCTGTTTTGTTTGATACATAATGTGTATTAAACCTAAAGCACTGGATTGAACGGTTCGATACGGGTACATGTATTGTTGCACCCCTAGTAAACTATATTAATACACTTTAAGACACAACTGGCCATCCTTGTTTATTTGGCTTTAAACGCGAGAATAAAATTCRGTGTGGACAATCATAAATATTTTGTCATTTTAAATTTTCAGGCCTGAACCAGATAAAGTCAGACTTTATTAAATTATAATTGGAAGCTGTGAACACACAGTCATAATAGCATGTTGATTCAATCACACTGATGATGAGGTGCTAATGCTCAAGATAAAGAGGGACGGTCCCTTTTGTGGGCAGGTTGAGGTTCTGTGTGAGCAGGACAGATCAGTGCTGGGGTAAACAAGTTGTCCTAAATGCTCTGATTGGAGGTCAGGGGTCACTGATAAGGATGGCGACTGTCTGCGTGGATCACCAGGCCAGACTCTCTCCTCACCTTCACCGTTTCGCCCTCTGTTTCTGCAACACACATTTACTCAACTATGGCCTCATTAAAACCATCGCCATCTGCTCCATATGTAACGGCCCAATTAGAGAGATGCTCTTTGACCCCACCTGTCCACTTTTAATTTGAAAGTCCATAGCCATCCCCATACACTGCCCCCTTCCTCTGGCCCGCTCACATGATGGTCTACGAGCAGGCCAYCCAGACTCTGACCTCTCATTGTCGTCTCTCTGCAGGGCCTGAGCTGATTTGTCAGCCTTGCGTAGGTTTGGTTTTCACCCTCCAAGTGTCCTGTGGCTATCRGCTGACCATGGTGGTCTGAGCAGAGGAAGCACAGCGAGGCTTGACCAAGAGAGGAGCAAAGAGACGGATCAGGGCAAAACGAGAAGAAAGGATATTTAAGAAGAAAATGTCTGTAAACAAAGAACTGGTGCTTTTCTATATTAGGTATAAACTGTCCCAGAGAAACTATCCTCTCGACCACATACTCAGTGACCCCTCAAACAGGACTGTTGAGGGGGGCGCAGAGCAGACAGAGACACACGCCAATGGGACTTTTAATGGGACGAGTCCCGGGACCCCGCCGGCGTCCCCGCTACGGCAGCAGGCGTCCCCCACGGCGGCGAGCATGGACAAGGTGAAGGAAGCGCTCCGGGACACGGCCAACGAGTTCGAGCTGCGGTACGCCCGCGCCTTCAGCGACCTGCACAGCCAGCTGCACATCACGCCCGCCACCGCCTACCAGAGCTTCGAGAACGTGATGGACGAGGTGTTCCGGGACGGCGTCAACTGGGGGCGCATCGTGGGGCTCTTCGCGTTCGGCGGGGCGCTGTGCGTCGAGTGCGTGGAGAAGGAGATGAGCCCCCTGGTGGGCCGGATCGTGGAGTGGATGACCGTCTACCTGGACAACCACATTCAGCCTTGGATCCAGAGCCAAGGAGGATGGGTGAGTCTCTCACACACACACACACACACACACACACACACACACACACACACACACACACACACACACACACACACACACA